CATGGCCAGGAGAGACCCCAGCCTGAGCCAGAGCCAAGCTGTGCCTGACAGTAAGGGGGAACGAACGGGGTGGGTAGGGAGTGGCAAAGCTGTTGTTTCTGGACCAGACCCAGGCTCAGGGCCAGTCAAAATGGCAGTAGCTGCCTGCCCCCCCACCTTCTGCTTTGTATTCAAATGTAAGTTTGAGAGGCTTTTCCCCCCATGCTGATGGGGGAGGATCTTGTCTCATAAATATGGTAATTTCATGAAAGCAGAAACTTTAATTTTGTCTCATTCCTACTTTGCGTGCTCAGTGTTTTTCATAAATCTTTATTTTTATGGCATCAGAATTAGAATATGATGTCAGAGAGGACAATATCTTTAGATAAGGAAGAGAGAGAAATGTCCAGTTCTTAGTGTGAATGAAGAAAAAATTGAACAAAGACATAATTTTAGCAGAACTGTCCCAAAACAGGTTGTTGTTTTTTCCTGTCTTTCCCTCCTCCTTCCCCAGTTTTTCCCCCACAAATGACTTCATGGTCATAGTGACTAAAACTCAGTATAAAGCAGCACAAAAGAACAGGAAGTAAATCAGAGATCAAACACTTCCCACAAATCCCTGGGCCCACATAAAGCATTTCAAGGTTCCTGTTATCAGGCATGTACTTGTAATAGGGCAGTCTGGCCCTTTAAATGGGGCAGAGCACCCTGGGGTAAGAGGCCAGCTGGGAGTTGAAAGCCCAAGGAGGGAGAGAGCAAGGAACTTGAGCTGGAGAAGGAGCAGTTTGTAGTCAGGAGTCAGATTGGAACCCAGATAAGATCACTTTTAGGCAGGGGTCTCTCCTGCTGCCAGACAGAGGCTAAAGGATTTGCTTTACTGTTTGTTTGTGGCAAGAATTGTTTGTGTTACAAAGTCAAGCTCGGGAAGCGGGGGCTCCCAGGGGAGCAAAGGCAGATTGTATGGCAGCAGGCATACCAACCTACTGTATTTGGGAAAAACTGCTGGTATGCTTCACTTTTAACTGTCTTAGAGCTATCAAAAAGTGATTGATATCCACAATTTCATCTAGCTTCAGAGCTACTAGATGACTTGTGTTCATTAATTTATCCATCTCCCATTATTGTATTAGTTAATATGCTTAAATATAGATTTTCATAAAATGAGGGATAGGAGGGATTTTTTTTTTCTCTTTTTGTTACTGCAGGGAGTAGGGTTTTTTTGCCTTCCTCAGAAGCACTGGATAGTAGTTGTAGCCAAGGCTGAGGATTTTGACTGGAGTGTGCCAGTGTTCCTGCTGGGACAAACCCAAAGGTTCCTGGTTAGAGGATCTTGCCCCTCTGCTCAGAGTTGGACCAACTGGCACGTTTGAAGTCAGAAAGGAATTTTACCCTGTGGTCAGATTGGTATGGACTGTGGAGACGGTGGAGGGGGGTGGTCCCTGTCTCTCCCAACCATGCAGTTGGTATAATAAAAGGTATCACCAAAAAATACCCCAAACCCTGCCTCCTGTACATTTTGCAGATCATTACTGTTACAATGATCCTCCAACCATACTGTGTGATTTTTTTCATAAAATAAGTTCAGTGATGATTCCAATAAACTGTCCAGGATAATGAATATTAGTAATACAGGTATGACTTTGTATTTATGTTTTATTGTAACATCTAGAAGGTCCTGTCCCCCCACAGTGCTAGATGCTATCCAAATATAATTTGAAACTACAGTTCCTGTCTTGGAGAACTTACAATTTTTAAGTCATGAAGACACAATGAGACAATATTGTACTATGTAATAGGCACTGGTTTCAGCAAGCCACTGTTCTAGCCTTTGTCAAACTTTTTATAGGCATCGTGACAAAAGAGAGTTTGTGTTTTCTAAGGAGGATGATGAGATTGCTTTGTAGATGTTTACAAGAAGCTCTTCCCGAGTCGGAGGGGCAGAAAAGAAGCACACGTTCTGATTCTCTTCTGCCAACACCAGTTTTGTTCTTAGTGTTCAGTTAGGACCTTAAATTCTTTAGTATTTAATTTATCCTCTAGCTTATTGTCTATTCATCACTTGGTCTGTTAAATGCTATTATGCAATCTCTTGAACCATCTAATCCCCATTAATGTTTAATTTTTAGAATATGAGCTGTCTTGGAGAATTGTGGCTCCATGGGTTCTAAATTTTGACATGATTTTTTTTTTTTTTTTTTTTTTTTTTTTTTTGAAGCACCGATTCAAAATCACCTCACTCTTCCTGGATGGAATGAAAAGTAAACAAGCCAGGGGCTGGGGAGTCAGTTGCCAGGCAGATAGACATTGGATTTTTGATACATTACAATCTGCCTGGCAACTGACTCCCCAGCCCAGCCCAGCCCCTGGCTTGTTTACTTTTCATTCCATCCAGGAAGAGCACACACCAACTGCTGCAGCTTCCTTAGCCTGACGAAGGGTTTTTGAACCCGAAAGCTTGCTTAATAACTATTCTCCAACCATTTGGGTTGGTCTAATAAAAGATATCAAATTCACCCAAGGAACCTTGTCTGCCTGTGTCCTTAGACCAACACGGCTACAACCCAAACCCCTGCAACTATGTAGCTATAGGCACATTACTCTGGCTTTTAAAAGAGTGGTCTGGCTACATAGTTTCTTTGGATATTTTTTGCTAATTATGTTTTGTTTAACTCTTATCTTTTCAGATGTCTTCAGTTTGTTTCTCCTGAAAACCTTCACAGAAAGAGAATTGGAAATTTAGTGTTTAGGGATGAATCCCTGCTAGCTCTTGTTGGGTGGCTTTTTGAAGCAGCAGCCAGGAGTTAAGCCAATATATACTGGGTTTTAAAGCATGGTTGACATACTCTTCACTAAGCATAATGGAGGACTGTTGAGTTGCCTAATTAAGATGGAAGATTGGCTGCAAATTGTGACCCTAGAGTTGAAATGTTGGTGATTTATGTGCTAGTCTTGTCATTGCCACCTTCTGTTCCCAAGGTATGGTGTGATTTATCTATTCATTCATGATCATCTTTTAAAGTAAAATTAGTATGAGTATGTCATACCCTTGGAGCACAGAAACTGTCTTGGCAAGCCAGAGCAGTGGTTGATATTGCAAGAAATCTACCTCTGATCTGGCCTCTATCAGATTTTTATTACAGAGATGTAAGAAACCATAGGGTTAATTCATGGTATTTCATCCATGGAATAATGAATATAATAGGTATAGTGGTTAGCTGATGGAATAACCTCCATATAAGAGAGAATCATTACTCCCTAGTCAATTAATAGTTGATTAAGGTCCTAAAGGACCTCTTTCTTGCCTTTTTTTTTTTTTTTTTTTTTAAAGGTGCTGTCTAATGCAATTGTGGATGTTCTCATTACCTACATAATCTTTAATCT